AGTATAAACAACACAGGGACTTGATGAATGTATATTTTTTAAATTGTTGATTATTTTCTCATTGAAAGCATGCGCTAGATGAGCACATTTACAATGTTTAATCCGACAATTCCTTTTTAAATACTTTCCTAATTTGCAGGACACAGTCTCATACATCTTTTTATTCTAATTTTATAATGTGATGTTGTTAAAGTGTTATATTATTATATGAATTAACTAGTTTCAGCGCAAAAAATAAGATTCGCATATTGCTGTATGAATGAAGTAAGAATATTAGGTCGCTTAACTTATACACGTAGAATATCAATTTACGTTACATTCAGCCTTTAAACACTTTCATAAAATCACATAAAGGCAGACGAGCCTCGGTGTAAAAAAACACATCGTAAAAATACAATTAAAATAGATATGCATACAAATGTACCGAAATAAGTGATAAATAAAAGTCAGCTAGTTTAAAATAAATAAGAATATCTGTTTTTATGTAAAATACGTGAGAAATTAAAGCCATAGCATGAGAGCGTGATTCCTGCTTTAAATCTGAGTCTCACGCTTAGTGCAGGGTATTTAGCTGCGAGAGAAAATAGAATAACTGATGCCTGTTAATAAATAAATTCTTATACGTGTAGAAAATTTTGAATTAAATGTCTGCTAGATTTTACAATATAATTAAGTTTACCAGTGAATCATAACTTACGTTCTTCCAGTTGATCATATATTTTTGAAACGTAAATTTGATTCATTTCCTACCAGAGACATAGATGTTATCTATGTCTCTGTTTCTACTAACTGATATATACAATTCAAAATTGTTACATATGATAACATGGAAGTTTATGTTGTACCCGGATACACATAACATGATGACATTGCGACTGCACCAGCCTTTTCATTCTTTTTTTCTGACATTCTTTGCAAAATTTATTTTTTTTATAATTTCCACTTAGGTGGTATTTTAATTATATCTTTCAATATTCTGAATTCTCTTTCAGTCCTTGAGGTATTTATATCCATTCGTTGCAGTTTTTCAGAGATTGATACCAACTTTTGCAGACAGTTATACCCTGATTTGTTGTACATGTATATAATTGAAGATATTCATCGAAATGCAGGCATCTGGCATGACTTTAAAAAAAACATTTTACGGAACATGTCTAAATACTATTGTTGTTGGTGGTTTTCACACATTTTTCAGGCTGTCAACCAATTCCTATATTCCTATAAAACTCCTATATTTTGGGTCAGAATCCTATATTTTAAAAAACCTCCTATTTTTCCTATATTCTCCTATATTTTGAATATTTTTCCTATATTTTTTAAAAAATATATTGCCGAGGAATTCAAAGAGATTTAAATTTTGGTACTGCTTTTGGCCTTTTGTATTTTACAGGTAAGAGAATGTCTTTATAATGCCTGCATCAGCATCACATTACTATGCTGAAGGCTGCTGTGCTCCTCATAGCCATCTGCATGGTCACCATGAAAAGCAGTGCATCAGTGTGTCAACTTTATTTCAGGTGACCATTCAGATGATGGTCATGCATTGCTGTAACTTTCTGGCGGAATGCTGATGCTGTGGTTCAAAGCTAATGCAGGCTGTCCAGGGTCCCTAAAATTCCCAAAATAATCCAAATTTTTTTCAGTTTGGCTAAAATTCCTAAAAAAGTGAAAAATTCAAAGGGAATTCCTAAAAATGCCCTATTCTTCACTGAAATTCGTAATTTTTAGCTCGACTATTCGATAAGAATAAGTAGAGCTATTGTAGTCACCCGAGCGTCGGCGTCTGCGTAACCACTTATGTTAAAGTTTTTGTAATAGTTCAAATATTTTCAAAGTCCATTGACATATGGCTTTGAAACTTTGCACACTTGTTCACCATCATTACCCCAACCTGTTAACAGGAGGAGGTAACTGTATCAAGCATTTTGACAGAATTATGCCCCTTTTTCGACTTAGAATTTACGTTAAAGTTTTTGTAATAGTTCAAATATTTTCAAAGTCCATTGACATATGGCTTTGAAACTTTGCACACTTGTTCACCATCATTACCCCAACCCGTAAACAGGAGGAGGTAACTGTATCAATCATTTTGACAGAATTATGCCCCTTTTTTCGACTTAGAATGTATGTTAAAGTTTTTGTAATACCTAAAATATTTTCAAAGTCCATTGACATATGGCTTTGAAACTTTGCACACTTGTTCACCATCATGACCCCAACCTGTAAACAGGAGGAGGTAACTGTATCAAGCATTTTGACAGAAGTATGCCCCTTTTTGGACTTAGAATTTACGTTAAAGTTTTTGTAATACTTCAAATATTTTCAAAGTCCATTGACCTATGGCTTTTAAACTTTGCACACTTGTTCACCATCATTACCCCAACCTGTAAACAGGAGGAGGTAACTGTATCAAGCATTTTTTTTTACAATCGAGCACTAAGAATAGTCGAGCGTTGCTGTCCTACCGACAGCTCTTGTTTTATCTTTTGTTATAAACATACTTATAACTTGTAACCCTGTCAAAATAATCACGGACATAACTAAGTTGACCATGTTTTGAACAGGGTCAAAAATGATTTGGGCATGATTTGCCAACTTAAAATTGATGACATTGAAATGGTTTCGTTTTAAGTAAAAGTTACTTTGACTATGTCAGTAACATTGCTTTTTCATAATCAAAGCAGTTGTTGAAAATCATGTTGACAGTTAACAGCAAAAATACTACCATATCATGGTCCTAAAACTCAAATCATAACCATAAGAGTCAACTTATTCTGGAATATTTTGACACTGTTTTGCCAACTCCAGATATCTTGAATTTTATGTTTGTTCATTTTATCCAAATTTCTGAGGTGGTCCATTTATATCATATCATATTTGAAAATGATCATTATGAAGCTGTTGTAACACAATCCTAATTAAATACATGTATAAATAGTTGTCAAAAATTAATGTACAATTTGTTTACTCACAACTCTTTTATTTAAATCTGCATAATATTAATATCAAAACAACATTGTAAAGTACTGAATGGGTTAACGTAGACTTTGGAAAATTAATTCTTTCCCTCATACTTATTTATCCTTTTTGATGTCTTTGTGAAATAGGAAAAGACAGACTCATATAATTAATCACACTCAAAATAATTTGGCAGTAATATAAAGCTCATTTCCAATTACAATGTACACACATTTGCAATTATATGATCTAGATAAACTGCAATTGAATGGTCTATGTGATGAACTTTTTTAATATGCAATTCTTTGTGTTGATTATAGATGCCTCCCATTTATGCCTTTTTACTTCCTACTTGTACAAAAAATTTCATTTGTCCATATTCAAAAGCTTCATTGTGCAAGAATTTCACTGTATAAGAATTCCTTTTAGAGACACTTGTGGTTATAACATTCCCAAAACATAGGTAGAACATGTTCTTTTTGACATGTTCAGCCATTTTAAAAAATATGATTTGAACATGATTTGACTATGACCATTTTCGCAGGGGAGGCTGTTGACCAGTGAGTCCACACTGGTAGCACCTTTGCTCTAACTAAACTAGAGCATTATTTGTGAGTTACTTTTGTGTCAAATATGCAAAGTTTAGCCCACATCCTGGTCCTTTGAGACCTTAGTTTATTTAGTTATAAAATTGCAAATTTTAGCCCTAAAATTTCTATTACGTACCCTAAAATTCCTAATTTTAGCCCTAAAATTTCTGAAATATTACCCTAAAATTCGCCCTAATTTTATGTCAGAAGGTGCTGGACAGCCTGCTAATGGTGTCCTTCACTTATATGGTAAACATTTTATTGTAGAAACAGCATGTGTAAAAGTAAGAAAAATTTACATTTATATAAGCATTGGTAAGTTAAACAATTTAAGTTGAAAACTCCTATTTTTTGCCTCAAAATGGTCCAAAAACTCCTATATTTCCTGCTAAAATATTCCTATATTCCTCCTTTATTTTGGATAAGACCTGGTTGACAGCCTGTTAAAATTAATACTTCAGAAGTAAAGCTTACATATTTACATGTCTGTTTACCAAAAATCATCAAGATCTGAGATGTTGTCAAATTTCGGTCGGAAAGTAGCGAGCTACCTTAAAGATTAAACGCATAGCATTCATTTTCATTAAAGATGAAATATATACAAATATGTTTCTTTACGTTAAACATTATAACACATTTCAAAATTCTAGTAATAGTAAAACATTAATTACGTTTATTAGTTGAGTAAAATATTATTGATTGAAGTTACCTTTAATTGTCATAACTTTGTTATTTATTATTATTAATTATAATGAACAGTTTTTATTTGTACCTTGACATAAATCACATATGACAACACCAGGCAGAATAAGTTAAGTATGATCTTGATCTGTTAATCACCAGCTGGACTCTAAAACATTTTAATTTGTGCTTTTGAGTAAAAATGAATCATATTACACAAGACGCCCACATATCGTATTCTCATAATATGAGGATGTAGATTATTGTAACTCCACTGAGGGTTTTTTGAGATGACAGGTCTAAAAAAAATCAAGATTTTTATATAAGTCTATAACAATAACTTGTATGCAAAATTTCAGTGTTTTTCCTCAGAATAATCATTTATATTTTGAAAAATGGCCTGAAAATTAAGTGTTATCATACTTCACACAAATTGGGCTAAGAAAATATCGCACTTTATTGAATTTCAATATAATTATTAGTTTCTGAATTTCTGAATTATCTTTTTCATTATTTCCCATTTTAAGAGCGCCTATTGATTTTAAAAAAATCTTAAATTACTTGTGTTTTCAGGCTTTTGAACCTCAGTGGAGCTCCTTTAGATAATTAAATAATGCATATGTTATAATAATCAAATTCAGTTTCATCTTGAGAATTTAAGGCCTTAGTGATATGGATGATTTTCTACATATTATTTGGTTTGTTAATTATTTTATATTTATCACGATGAAACAAACCTCCATATGTAGAAATTAAATCTCTTTCAAAACAGGTGAAATTGTAAGTGGTCTGCAGACTATGGAAGGTGTGCAGGAAAACTATGGAAGTGTAAATAAAGGTCAATTAAGAGCAGTGGGCATTCAGTCAACTGCGGATGAAAGACAAACGGGCTCTCTGACTGAACGCAAGAAACTAAAAGCATATATACCTCCTAAAAATACATGTATTTTTGATGGTCGTTTGATCAAACTTGTACAAGCAGACATTGATGACTTGAGTAAGAACAACACCATTCCTATTGGGCAAGGTTCATTTGGAAAAGTTTTTAAAAGTACGTAAACTATATAGTATATTAATGGTATGTATAAATTACATTGAACTGGAACTCTCTTGTTTGAATTGAAAAGTTTTTTGTCTTGAAATTTTAGCGCTCCCAAGTTTGCCAAAATAGAATCATTGATGTAGATCAATTTTCGTTGGCAATTTGTTTATCCTGTATGTTGTAATTGAGGTTGTGAACCACACTTGAGTGAAATTATATAATGTATAATGTATATAATTATGCTTATAAACAATTTACAAACATAGAAGAATATGTAAAATATGTACTGCAAATATTTGTACAATATATTATATGTTATCATTAAAATTTTAAAATATTATTGAAAAATTTGACTATAGGCTTTATAGAAAATAAATTTTTATTACATCCCTTTATTTACATAAAATGTTAAATTCGGTTATGTCTTTATAAATAATGCTTTTTGGAACTTACAAAATTGATAAATCTTAATTTGAGCATCATATTTTATGATATAAAACCATAAAAAAATGTGTTACAGGATCTTTAGATATATCTTATGATCTACATTTCAGTCAAGCATTGATGTGATAGTTTTAAAGCTCAAAACTTAGACCATATAATTGTGTACTTAATGTGTCCCCATTGAATGACCAACATCTGCATTAAAAATATACATGTATAACCTTCTTTAGCAGATGATCATAGTTGGGCACTAATCACATATCCCTCTTTTGTAAAACATTGATAGACAACAGATTATCCTTTAAATTTTAGGTGAGAATCCTTCGGAGGGTTTTGGAATGCATATCGTTGTTAAAAAGATACCTTTAATAGGAGAAGGACAAAACCAATCAATAACTAGAGTGAGGCTTTATTTGTATAAGTATAATTAACATTTTCAAAAGCAGGAAGTTTTGCTGCCTTTTACTAGATATTTTAAGTATTGTTAACGCTCATCTTAGTTTTCTAACTGTTTATTCAAACAGTTCGTTACAACATTTGTCAGGTTTGATAAATATTAAGGAAAAAGATGAAGCTATCATGGTAATTTGCCTCGAGTTGTACTCCGGGATGACTGAAAACATGAAGCCTTCACTGTTTTTGTTTGAATCTTATTGACTGTTAAGTGATGGCTCAGCTAATTAAAGCCAGTACATCTTTGTACAGGTGAAGTCGACACATACAACTTGATCTATCATGAATGTTTATAAATATGAATGGTCCTTTAATTTCAGTAACACAATTATTGAGACATTAAACTTACTTTATAATTTCTTTTCCAGGAAATGATGGCATCCAGAATAATGCATCCTTTTATTCTTCCATTGTTGGCTGTTGTTGATCGTCCAGAAGGGTAGACACTTCTTTAAATACTATCGTTAAATAATACAACAATTACCTTACATAAGTTTTTCATTTTTTAAAGGCATATTATGCCTCAGTAACAAATAAATATTCACTTCTTTAGAAAGGGTAAACATGAAATTAATGTTTAAATGATAGTTTACAAAAATGTTGGATGTTAAAATGTTACCCGGGAAATCAGCAATAAATATGAAATTATTTGTAATAAAAGTAGTAAAATGTAAACAAAGTAGTATTTTGACTTCCACACAAAATACTAACTACTTATTGCCAAAAAGCAACAGATAAAAAATATGGTTCTGGTAACTTGCCAATGAGTGACATTTTATAGTACACAAAAATTAAGAAGCTTTGGAGAAATAAAAAGAAAAAAACATATTTGAGGCATAATGGGCCTTTAACTCACTTGAGCACTCTTTGCTTAGGTGAGCTTAGGTGATCACAATTTGTCTGGCATCCATCGTCTGTAAGTCCGTATGATCAAATAGAGATAGGGGGCCATCAAACTGTAAACAGAACAAAAGAAAACAATAAAGTTCATTTCCTCATCAATAGAATACAGGGCAAATGGACCTCTATTAAAAAGAAGAAAATAAAAGAAATGACCTCTTATGCCATATCTTCAGATGTAAGTGCGTCTGTCATCAACTTTTCATGCTCCCCAAAAAATTTTGGGGGAGCATATAGTCGCGGGGTTGTCCGTCCTGTCCGGGCTATGTAAGAGAAGTAGGGGGCCATCTGTAAACAGAACAGAACAATAGAGTTCATTCCGTAACAATAGAAAAAGGGGCCATGACCCTCTATTAAACAGAAGAAAATAACAAAAGAATTGACCTCTTATGCCATAACGACAGATGTCAGTGGGACATTTCTTTTTCTTAAAGGGTTTCTCTTTGGAAACCACTTGGTCAGATTTCATGAAATTTTCCTGTGATGCTCTTAGCATTAAGTTTTACTAATTTTGTTCAAATGCTTCCGCTTTGTTCAACATCTGTAAGTCTTTTTTCTCTGAAAGTGTTAGACCTAAAGCTTCGAAATTTTGTGCGTAGCATTATCTAATAAAACTCTAAATTATAGCCTTTTGGTCAAAATTGGCCTCTCCCTTGGGGTCATGGCTTTTCCTTATATAGTTAATACTTCAAAAATCTTGGCAACTGCAAGGGATATATTTTAGATATTTAGCATGAAACATCGCTTGACGAACCTCTACAAATATTATTCAATTTTTTGCCCTTGGGTCCAAAATGTGCTCGTTTCAGGTGGTCATAGTTTTTGATGCCACCACAGCAAACTTGGCTCCGTCCCAGGGATAATATGTTTCCCTTATATGTTTAAATCTATATTCTCTTCTTTTAAAATTTTCGTAATAGGGGTCACTTATTTAATAATTATTAACTTACTTCATTGCTTCCGACGAATCTGCCACTTTCATAGCTAAACACATTTTAATATTTGGTACTCGATGTAATTTCCTAGAAGACCTCTACAAATATTTCATTAAATATACAACTGAGGTAAGGAATTACACACCCTTCTTACTTACTTCTGTATTGAATTGTGACATTTTCTGTTGAGCAAAACAGAACCACAATGGCCCTCTTGTCATGTACTATCTTGCAATATGCTTTATACTATTGTTCTAAAGCATCATTTATATATTATTAATGTCATGTCATTCAGAGGCCTTTGGTAGTAATACCCTTATTTCAATTCTCTCAGACAAACAGATACATAGGGTAATATTATTTGGTTTTATCAATTTTTTTTAAGCTTGATTTTTTAACATTTTTAAGGAAACCAGAAGTATGGTTTGTTTCTCCACAAGGCAACAAAGGGGACCTTCATGGTGTCATTCAACGCAGCAGTGAAGATCTCAACATGAAGAAAAGAACAAAAATTTTACTTCATATAGCATTAGCAATCCAGTACATTCATACCAAAGTATCAAAAGTCAGGTAAGTTTTAAGATATATTTAAGATTAATAAAATCCAATGTGCAATGGAAATGTACATGTAATACAAAATAAGACATCAGTGTAAACATATTCATTTTTACCAATTAATATTTTTCATTCCAAGTTAGTTTGAAAGGGTTGTATAAGATTTAGTTCCTCTAGGAACTCTTACATATGCATGGAGGCTTTTTGGTTTTCTTATGGTTTGTTAGTTATTTTGCACAACTATCTTATTTTTATTAGCTCACCAGAACCGAAGGTTCAGGGTGAGCTATTAGTATCAAAGGGGAAAACTCAGGCGTCCGTTGTCCATTGTTGTGCGTCAACAATCGTCTTCTTCTCTGTATCTGCTGGCCAGATTTGGTCTATAGCATCCTTGTGACAGTCACACTTAAATTTGGTCATGTCATTTCAGTTGGCCCCTTTTAGGGGTCACCAGAGCTAAAAAAAGAAAAAACCTTTAGACATCATCTTCTACAGCCATCTAATTGATGGATGATCACCAGACTTAGTCTGTAGCATTCTTGGATAATATTTTATTAAGTTTGCTCATATTAATTTGATTGGCCCCTTTTATGTGCTGCTAAAGATAGATATACAAAAATACCTTTAAACGTCTGCTTCTACAGAATTAATTGATTGATGATCAGCAAACTTTGTCTGTAGCATTCTTAGGTAGTCTTTTTTATCAAGATTGCTCAAAATAATTTGATTGGCCCCTTTTAGGGGTCTCTAGAGCTAAAAATAGAAAACGTTTAGACATCTTCTACAGAACTAATTGATGAATGATCACCAAACTTTGTCTGTAGCATTCTTGGGTAGTCTTTCATCAAGTTTGCTTATATTAATTTGATATGCCCCTTTAAGGGGCTGCTTAAGCTAAAAATAGAAAAACCTTTAAACATCTTTTTTTACAGAACTAATTGATGTCTGTAGCATTCTTAGGTTGTGTTTTATCAAGTTTGCTTATATTTATTAGCCCCTTTTAAGGGCTGCTATATCTAAAAATATAAACAAGAAGTGCCGCAATGCAACGGAAACCAATTTTTCAACGACCAAGTTTTGATGTGACAGCAATCAATAGTCAAAAGTGCACTGAAGTTATTGAGTAGAAGCTGAAAATTCTATTGTAAGCAAATGACCTTGACCTTGCTTCCAGATATCTTAAGTGGCAATCCAAAGCTGCAACACAGCAAGTTTGGTGTCAAAAGGTCAAAGCAGACTCAAGTTATTACGTGAAAACTGAATACATTAACCTTGATCACAGACACCTAGGTAGTAATCCCAAATTGCCTCTTGATATAAGCTATCTATACACTAAGTTTGGTGTCAATAGGCCAAAGCAAACTCAAATTATTGAGCGGAAACTGAATTTCTAATTTTAGAAACTGTGACCTTGACCTTAATCACAGACACCTTTTTAGCAATCCCAATCTGCCTCTTGATATAAGCTATCTATACACAAAGTTTGGTGTGATAAGGCCAAATCAAACGCAAGTTATTGAGCGGAAACTGAATTTCTATTTTTAGTAACAGTGACCATGACCTTGATCACAGACTTCTGGGTAGCACTTCCATGCTAGCTCTTAATATAAGCTACCTACACATCAAGTTTGGTGTCAATAGGCCAAAGCAAACTAAAGTTATTGAGCAGAAACCAAAAGTTGACGCCTGCCCAACTGCCTGCCGTCCCGCCTACTCCGGCATTACAATAACCTGGTTTCCTTTGAAAACCTGGTTACAAACCTATGAACATGGTTTCCTACAGAAATAATTGATGGATGATCATCAAACTTTGTTTGAAGCATTTTTTGGTAGTCTTTTATCAATATTGGTCCCTTTTAGGGGCTGCTAAATCTAAATATAGAAATACCTATAAACGTCTCCTTCTACAGGACTGATTAATGGATAATCACCAAATTTTGTCTGTGTCATTCTTAGGAAGTCTTTTATCAAGTTTGCTCATAATAATTTGATTGGCCCCTTTTAGGGGCTGCTAAAGCTAAAAAAGAAAAATACCTTGGAATATTATTTCCTACTGAAATAATTGATGGATGATCAGCAAAATTTGTCTGTAGCATTCTTGGGTAATCTTTTATCAAGTTTGCTCATATAAATTTGATTGGCCCCTTTTAGGTGCCGCTAAAGATAAAAATAGAATAATTGATGGAAGATCACTAAACTTAGTCTTTTATCAAGTTTGCTCATATAAATTTGATTGGCCCAATTTAAGCTAAAGCTAAAGCTTAAATGCCCCAGGTCATGGCATTTCTTCAAATTATAGTTTAAAGATATTTTATGCTCAAGTTTTATATTAGAAAATATTGACAATGGATAATTTCCAACACTGAAAAAGAGTTCTTTCTGGTGAGCGACTCAGGGCCATGGCTCTTTTGTTATAAATTGTATTATAAGCAAATTTAAAATAAATATATTTTTGTGATCGCTTAATGAAGTGCTTTTTTATGCCCCATTTGGAAGAAGAGAGGGTATGTTGTTTTGTTAATGGCAGTCGGTTGGTTGGTCTGTTTGTCTGTAGACCACAGGTTTCCGCTGATTATCTTAAAAACTATTTATCACAAGTATTCCTATTTCACATACTGATTGGTCATAACTAGTTAATGACCCATATTGATTTTGAGGCCACTAGATCAAAGGTCAAGGTCATGGGTTCTTAATGTCAAAATAGTTTCTGATGATTATCTTGAAAATTATTCATCAAAAAGTCTTCATATTTCACACAGTGAGCGGTCACAACACGTAGGTGACCCATATTGATTTTGGGGTCACTAGGTCAAAGGAGCCTTTAATGTCAAAATGGTTTTGCTGATTATCTTGAAAACTAGTTAACACAAAGTTTTCATGTTTCACATAGTGATTGGTAATAACTAGTAGATAATGACTATTGATTTTGGGGTCACTAGGTCAAAGGTCATGGTGTCAGGGGTCTTCAATGTCAAAATGGTTTCCAATGATTATCTTGAAAACTATTCATCATAAAGTCTACATATTTCACACAGTGATTGGTCATAACTAGTAGATTTGGGTCACTAGGTCAAAAGTCAAGGTCACAGGGGCCTTCAAAGTTAAAATGGTTTACGCTCATTTTCTTGGTTACTATTTATCACAATGTCCTCATATTAGGCAAACAGATTGGTCATAACTAGTAGATTATCCCTATTGATTTTGTGGTCAGAAGGTCCAAGGTCAAGGTCAAAGGGTCCTTAAACATTAGAATGGTTTCATCTCATTTGTATAATGTCTTCATATTTCACATTATAATTGGATTTCACATTATAATTGGTCATAACCAGTAGATGACCCCTATTAATTTTGGTGTCACTAGGTCAAAGGTCACTGGGGCCTTAAATGGTAGTATAGTTTCAGCTCATTATCTGTAAAGCTAGTTAATATCACAAAATTTTCATATTTCACATAGTGATTGGTCATAACTTATAGATTAGGCCCATTGTTTTTAGAGTCATTAGGTCAAGGTCATAGGGGGTCTTAAATATCAAAATAGTTTCAGCTTAATATTATCTTGAAAACTATTTATCTTAAAGTATTCATATTTCACAAACTGATTGGTCATAAATAGAAGGTGACCCTTATTAATTTTTGGGTCACTAGGGCAAAGGTCAAGGTCACAAGGGCCTTGAATGTAGGTATCATTTCAGCTCATTATCTTGAAAACTATTTATCACAAAGTCTTCATATTTCACATAGTCAATGGTCTTAACTAATAACTAGTAGATGACCCCTATTGATTTTGGGGTAACTAGGTTAAAGTTCACAGGTGTCTTTAATGTCAGAATGTTTTCTGCTCATTACCTTGAAAACAATTTATCACAAAGTCTTCATATTAGATGACCCCTATTGATTTTGGGGTAACTAGGTTTAAATTCAAGGTCATAGGTGCCTTAATTGTCAGAATGGTTTCTGCTAATTATCATGAAAATTATTTATCATAAAGTCTTCATATTTCACATATTGAATAGCCATATGTAGTTGATGACCCCTATTGATTTTGAAATCACTAGTTCAAAGGTCATGGTCACAGGGGCCTTCAATGTAAATATGGTTTCAACTTACTACCTTGAAAACTTTTTTTATCACAAAGTCTTCATGTTTAACATATTAATTAGTCATAATGGGGTCAATAGTTCAAAGGTCATGCTCTTTATATTTCACATATTGATTGGTTATAACTAGTAGGTCGTTATTTTTCTGTTTTACCATAACTGAACACATCCATCTACCTAGTTCTGGCTTCAAGAACTTTATATGTCGCTTTTATTTTGACATTGCGACAGTAAAGTTATGGGTCAACCCTATTTGCAAAGGCTACCAGAATTTGGCAGTTTGTGCGCCCTACTTAAAAAACCTATTAAAATCACCCTCATTAATCAAATTTGGGTCAAATAAAAATAAAATTTGATAAACAAATCAATTTTGAATCAATTCATGTTTTGTTTTTACATAAAACATCAATGACATTGTGTACCCAACTATTTATTAGGGAAATATGTATAGAATGTTTACCAATATGGAGTCTGCTTTCAATTGAAATATTGTTGGACTTCAAGTTTTGGGAATTCTAGCATCTATTTTTAGTAACACACCATACACTATTTTTAGTAAGTGTATGATTTTATATAAATTTTTTTAATGCGTTTATTTAAGGTTGCCGCCAGAAGCCCATATGGGCGACCGTACACTCAAATCGGGCCATCCTAGAGCGTCCGCCGAGATTTTTCGTCGATTTTTTTCCAGCTTTATTGGTGGAGGAAGACCCCAGGTGCCCCTCCGGGCATTATTTCAGGCACGAGCGGGCACCTGGGTAGAACCACCGACCTTCCGTAAGCCAGCTGGATGGCTTCCTCACATGAAAGATTTAGACCCGAGTTAGGATCGAACCTACAGCGGTGAGGGACCTGTGATCTCAAGTCAACGACCTTAACCACTCGGCCACGGAGGCCCCTTATTTTATATAAAAACAAACAAATAATTCATGAATCATCACTCAAAACAATATAAATCCAACATGTTTTTGGTACAATGTCTGTTATTGAATAAATACACCGTTATTCATAATTGCAAAGCCATGTTTTCAATTAAAAATAGCATTTGGGTCACGGGTCACCAAATGTCATGCAAAGGTATCCGAACCTAAATTCTCGCTAGTCACGTGATAATTAGGGCAGCAATGGCGGCGAATTTTATGAAATGTGAACCCGCTGATAAACTTTGAGGCATTATTTCATCAATCTAACATTCTGTTTTCAAAAATATAGACTGAAGTGTCCCAAATATATCTAACTACCTTTATTAATATAGCTTTTGTCAAGATCACCCAAATTTATTGAATTACAGCAGAACATAAATATGTTACGGTTCTGGTTGACTTTCAATACGGGATTGGCTTCAGCGAACAGGTCAGGCAGTACTATAAAATCTGTTCGCTGAAGTATCTTTAGCTACCATTAACCCATTTATGGCAAGTTTTTATGACAAAAATACCAATAATGTGAGTCAAGGGCTAGAAAGGGGGACATATGTATCGTTCGATATTTCTTGTTTAAATACAGCTTTAAATTGATTTATGTTGTAACATACAATTCACACTCGGACGTTTTGGATGATACCTATCTTTTCAGGGAAGCTGTTCTACATAAAGATATAGCATCTAGGAATATTGTACTAGATGACAATTATAATGCTAGACTTATTGACTTTGGACTGGCAAGGGAAACAAGCGATAAAACATCCAAGGCTAGTGGAAGAGACTGTTATGCTCATCCTGAAATTGGAAAAGGGTTCCATGCCAAAGAGGCATGGGATTATTTTGCCTTTGGAGTCAGTAAGTAAAAATATCTAATGTATCATTTAATGGAAGGTTTTCTAAGATTTTAAGATTTGGGTAGGTCATTATGTCAGATTATACTATAATCAATAAATTAGAAAATCAGTGTTTTAGGTGAATTTAAATTAATATATGTAACTTAATTTTGAGCTCACCTGTCACAAAGTGACATGGTGAGCTTTTGTGATTGCTCTTCGTCTGGCGTCCGTCCGTTTTACTTTTACTTTAAACGACATCTCCTCATAAACGGCTAAGCCAATTTCATCCAAACTTCACAGGAATTATCCTTTGGTAGTCAAGTTTAAAAATTGTTCAAAGAATTTAATTCCAAGCAGAAATCTTAAAAACTTAAAATGTCTTCTTTTAAAAAACAAAAAGAGCTAGAGGTTAAATTTTTGGCATGAAACATCATTTAGTCAGTGTCTATTAAGTTTGTTCAAATAAATGTCCTGGGGTCAAAATTGGCCCCACCAGGGGGGGGGGGGGGCATTGATTTTCCTTAATTGTATATAGTAAAAATTTAAAAAATCTTCTTTTAAAAAGCCAAAATAGCTAGTGCTTAAATATTAAGCATAAAGCATCTTCTTGTAGGTGTCTACCAAGTTTGTTCAAATAAAAACCCTGAGTTCAAAATCGGCCCCCTCCCAGGGGGTCATTGTTTTTCCCTTTATGTATATAGAAAAACTTAAAAAATCTTCTCTTAAAAAACCCTAAGAGCTAGAGCTAAGATATTTAGCATGAAACATCTTCTAATGGATGGCTATCATTTTTGTTCAAACAAGGGCCCTAGGGTTAAAATTGGCCCAGCCCGGGGATCATTGATTTTCCTTATATGTATATAGTAAAAACTTAAAAAATCTTCTTTTAAAAAACCCATAGAGCTAGAGTTTAGATATTAAGCATGAACTATCTTCTAGTGAGTGACTATCAAGTTTGTCCAAATAAAAGCCCTGGGGACAAAATTGGCCCCGCCCAGAGGGGGGGGGTCATTGTTTTTCCCTATATGACTTGTGTATAGTATAAACTTAAAAAATCTTCATACAGGTAGAGCTTAGATATTTATCATGAAACATCTTCAAATGGGTGTCTACCAAGTTTGTTCAAATAAAAGCCACTGGGTTAAAATTTTATCCTGTTTTGAGGCCTAAACCAGGCAATAATGCTATAAACTTTCCTCACAGTAAGCTCAAGGACTGTATTTATTATTTGGTGCGCTGCACTATATTTTCATACTCTATTTTTGTGCCCCCATGTTAGTGGCGGGCATTTAGATTTACCCTTGTCCGTCCGTCCGTCCCTCCGTCCGTCCGTTCACTTTTGTGTCGCACGTAACTCAAAAAGTATTTGGCTTATAGTCATGAAACTTTACAGGAATGTTGATCAGCATGTGTTGTTGTGCACCTGGGTATTTTCATGTGGATATTTATAGTATTTTCAGAGTTATTGCCCTTGACTTAGTAAAATTTTGCAATTTTCAACTTGTGTCGCATGTAACTCAAAAAGTATTTGACCTAGTCATGAAACTTTACAGGAATGTTGATCAGCATGTGTTGTTGTGCACCTGGGTATTTTCGTGTGGATATTTATAGTAATTTCAGAGTTATTGCCCTTGACTTAGTAAAATTTTGCAATTTTCAACTTGTGTCGCATATTACTCAAAAAGTATTTGACCTAGAGTCATGAAACTTTACAGGAATGTTGATCAGCATGTGTAGTTGTGCACCTGGGTATTTTCTTGTGGATATTTATAGTATTTTCAGAGTTATTGCCCTTGACTTAGTAAAATTTTGCAATTTTCAACTTGTGTCGCACGTAACTGAAAAAGTATTTGACCTAGAGTCATGAAACTTTACAGGAATGTTGATCAGCATGTGTTGTTGTGCACCTGGGTATTTTCGTGTGGATATTTTTAGTATTTTCAGAGTAATTGCCCTTGACTTAGTAAAATTTTGCAATTTTCAACTTGTGTCGCATGTAACTCAAAAAGTATTTGACCTAGAGTCATGAAACTTTACAGGAATGTTGATCAGCATGTGTTGTTGTGCACCTGGGTATTTTCGTGTGGATATTTTTAGTATTTTCAGAGTTATTGCCCTTGACTTAGAAGATTTTTGCAATTTTCAACTTGTGTCGCACGTAACTCAAAAAGTATTTGACCTAGAGTCATGAAACTTTACAGGAATGTTGATCAGCATGTGTAGTTGTGCACCTGGCTATTTTTGTGTGGATATAGTATTTTCAGAGTTATTGCCCTTGACTTAGTAAAATTTTGCAATTTTCAACATGTGTCGCACGTAACTGAAAAAGTATTTGACTAGAGTCATGTAACTTTACAGGAAAATTGATCAGCATGTGCAGTTGTGCACCAGGTATTTTCGTCTGGATTTATTTAGTATTTTTTAGAGTTATTGCCCTTCACTTAGAAAATTTTTGCAATTTTCAACTTGTGTCTCAAGTTACTGAAAAGGGATTTGACATAGTCATTAAACCTTATGGGCAGGTTGCTCAGCATATTTTGATTTGCACCTGGGGTTTCGCTTGTGGATTTATCCAGTATTTGTAGAGTTATTTCCCTTGACTTAGTAAAAAGATTGACAGAACAGTGGCGCGGTGGGGGCACCCGTGTCCTTTGGACACATTTCTAGTTTACAATAAAATTGTACAGTCAAACGTGTATTAAGCGACCGCACAAGGGAAACACCCAAAATGGTCGCTTAATGAAACGGTCTCTTAAGACAGCATGATATAAACGCCAAAATTTATGACATTAATTAATGACATCTTTCTTATGCGATGGGAATGTTTTTCATCTTCATTTTTAAATAAATTATGAATAATTAGTACGCTCCGATAATCTAAATGGATGCAAATGTAAAATATAACTTTCTGATATTTATTGACAAAACAGTTTTGATCCATTATATACATGTTTGACATTTTTTCCAGAATTTTTTAACTTCTCCGTTGTTTTTCCTTGTCTCCAACACGAAAAACCTATTAGTGAAGATGTTTTCTGTTGTGCATTTATTCATTTGAAATAAACAAACTACATCTAGTTGTCACAATTAATTTAATTGCTGATCAAGTTCAAGGTCAATTAAATGCAGTCTAAATGTCAACAAGCGGAGCGTATACACCATCTTAGTAGGGGCAGAGCGTTGCATTGTTTATCCGATATTATTGGGAAATGCACGTCACGCGTATACTTAACTTAATTTGCATACGCTAAAAACGGTTTGGGAAATAGAGTTTTTCACACGTTTATTTGTTGTGTTTTGATTGTTTTGATTTTTGACACTTGTGACATTACGTTCTCTAAAAACACAATTACTTGACAGGTAAAAGTGGTCGTTTAATGAAAAGATTGATCTCAATTAGGTGACTAATTAGCGGTCGCTGGTCGCGTTGAGCAAAAGTCGCTTTATACATTAAAGATATAGAGAGAAAATGATCGGGTGGAATTTAAAGTGGTCGTTTAAGACAAAACTTCGCTTAATACACATGGTCGCATGGGCAAGTTAGACTGTACTTAACTTTCGAATTGATGGTATTTCTACAAAAAAATGGTTCTAGTGGGACCATTCAGCAGGTGGGTGATGACGTGGTATCTTGCTATTGAATCAAATAGGTTACCACTTTTGATATTAATACAGTTTAAGGGCCTGACTGTTGACATGTCCGGGTTATGTACTCTCAGTGCCGGAAAGGGCGGATTGACCCTCATTAAGCAAAGACTACCAACCTACCCAATCTATCAATTAATGCATCAAGTTAGCTCAATAGGTAGGGCGGGTGTTGGACTGTTAATCGGGCGATGTCCATCCGCTTTGGTATGTACAGAAGTTTCACGTCCTGGCAAAAGTGATCCGGAGTGAAAACTAGCAATACCGCAAATTATCAAAACTTTAGACATGAAGAAAAATGTCCTTAATACCGACAGTTGTTGTAAATGGTTGATTTACAATGCTATCTTTGTTTGGCTTTATAGTGGGCAGTCTTTCTATTTTTATGTTAAAGCTTATATTTTTTGTATGAAACATTGCCCTGTTGACATCTACAAAAGTTATATGCTCCTGGGGTCAATATTGGCCCTGAACCAGAGGTCACAAAGATAGGAAAATATATTTTTATGACTGTATTCTTATGCCAAGTTCTTTGTTATTTGGCATGTATCATTACCTAAGAGAACCCTGATCATTTCATTGATATTAAGAAATAGCTGTGTCTAGGGTGTTCGTGAGAAGGTGGAGGGGTAGGTATCACACAATTAAATGTAGACAAATTTAAATTGTATACATGTCTTACAAGTCTTTTCCTGCAACCTACAACATGCAGAGTATTTATATTTATCATGTATCATCACTCTGTTTGCTTTATTAAAGAAGAATTGTCTTTTTTAGCTCACCTGAGCTTGCTCAGGGTGAGCTTTAAGGATCGGTGAATGTCCGTCGTTTGTCGTACGTCGTACGTCGTACGTCCACAATTGCTTGTGAACACTCTAGCGGTCGCATTTTTGCCTCAATCATCATCAAACTTAGTCAGGATGCTTATCTACTTGAAAGCTCGGATGAGTTCGAACATGGCTCATCTCGGATGAAAAACTAGGTCACAAGAGCTAAAAATAGAAAAACCTTGTGAACACTCTAGAGGTCACATTTTTGACCCAATCATCATCAAACTTGGTCAGGATGTTTGTCTAGGTGATAGCTCGGATGAGTTTCAACATGGGTCATCTCGGATGAAAAAGTAGGTCACACAAACTATAAATAGAAAAACCTTGTGAACACTCTAGTGGTCACATTTTTGAACCAATCATCATCAAACTTGGTCAGAATGCTTTTCTAGTCAATTGCTTGGATGAGTTCGAACATGGGTCATCTCTGATGAAAAACTAGGTCACAGGAGCTAAAGATAGACAAACCTTGTGAACACTCTAGTGGTCATATTTTTGACCCAATCATCATCAAACTTTGTTAGGATGCTTGTTTAGATAATAGCTCGGATGAGCTCGAATGTGGGTCATCTCGGATGAAAAACTAGGTCACCGGAGCTAAAAATAGAAAAACCTTGTTAACACTCTAGCGGTCACATTTTTGCATCAATGTCAGGATGCTTATCTAGTTGATAGCTTGGATGAGTTCGAACATGGGTCATCTCGGATGAAAAAGTAGGTCACCGGAGCTAAAAATAGAAAAACCTTTGTTAACACTCTAGCGGTCACATTTTTGCATCAATCATCATCAAATTTGGTCAAGATGCTTGTCTAGGTGATAGCTCGGATGAGTTCGAACATTGGTCATCTCGGATGGAAAAGTAGGTCACCAGAGCCAAAAATAGAAAAACCTTGTTAACACTCTAGCGGTCACATTTTTGCATCAGTCATTATCAAACTTTGTCAAGATGTTTGTCTAGGTGGTAGCTCGAATGAGTTTCAACATGGGTCATCTCGGATGAAAAAGTAGGTCACCGGAGCTAAAAATAGAAAAACCTTGTTAACACTCTAGCGGTCACATTTTTGCATCAATCATCATCAAACTTTGTCAAGATGTTTGTCTAGGTGATAGCTCGGATGAGTTTGAACATGGGTCATCTCGGATGAAAAAGTAGGTCACCAGAGCTAAAAATAGAAAAACCTTGTTAACACTCTAGCGGTCACATTTTTGCATCAATCATCATCAAACTTGGTCAAGATGCTTGTCTAGGTGTTAGCTCGGATGAGTTCGAACATGGGTCATCTCGGATGAAAAACTAGGTCACAGGAGCTAAAAATAGAAAAACCTTGTTAACACTCTAGTGGCTACTGTTGTGATCCAAATATTCTGTAAATTGGTCTGAAAGTTTGTTTCGATGATTTCTAAATCAAGATCGAACATGGGTGATCTTGGATGAAAAACTAGGTCACACTGCCCAAATATGGAAAAACATTGTTAACATTCTAGTGGTCACATTTTCGACTCAATTATCATCAAACTTGGTCAGGATGCTTGTCTAGGTAATTGCTTGGATGAGTTCGAAATCGCATGTGAAACTAGGTCACCGGAGCTAACAATAGAAAAATCTTGTTAACACTCTAGTTGCTACTGTTTTGATCCAAGTATCCTGGAAATTGGTCTGAAAGTTTGTTTTGATGATTTCTAGGTCAAGTTTGAATATGTGTCACCTGGGTAAAAAACTAGGTCGCACTGCTCAAATATGGATAATCCTTGTTAACACTGTAGTGGTCACATTTTGACTCACCTGTCATGAGACTTGGTCAGAATGCTTGTCTAGGTAATTGTTTGGATGAGTTTGATAAGTCAGGTGAGCGATCTAGGGCCATCATGGCCCTCTTGTTTGTACAAATAGTGAACTGAAGATAGAATTCATAAATCTAAAGGGAGGTAATAAAAAAAGAAAATTACTTGTAAACATAGCATTTTGATTTTTGATTAATTTTTAGGCACATTGTTTTGTGCTTTTAAATATGTGGTATAGTGTTATTTGTGATGTATGTTTCTTTGAATTTTTATCAGTTAAAGATAACATACAAACATACATACACACGTATGCACACACGCACACACACTAACTGTAGCATTTATAAGTACCTTTAAGTATTCATGTGACAAGACCATAGTGCTTTGGCATGTATCAATATAGATCTTTAACTTCCTTTTATATTGATAATTAAAATAAAACATGTTCCAGACAAGCCTTATAAATAAGCGTAATAATTTTTTTAAATTAAATTTTTTTTTTGATTACTTTAAATTTTGAATACTTAAAACAAATATGCATTCATGCATATATATATGTATGTAAATTTAGTTGTTATATTCTTTTACATTACTTTAAAGAGTACAATATTTTGCATTTTAAAAATTATTACAATAACATGGTAAACAATACAGCTTCGAACTGATAATAATATTGTTTGAATGGAATAAAATCATATCTGATTCTGGTATTTTCAATTGCAGTCATGAGAGAATTATTGACCAGTCTAGGACCTGATGGTGTTAGTAACAGATATTTGAAATATATGACAGAAGATGAAATTCGAAAATATGCTTATGTAAGATGTCTTTTATCTCATCAAAAATTACTAGAGGATATCATCCACGAGAAATAAAATGAGGGGCGTCGGTGGCCGAGTGGTTACGGCCGTTGACTTCAAACCACTTGCCCCTCACCGCTGTGGGTTCGAATCCCTACAGGGACTTTGGATTCTTTCATGTGAGGAAGCTATCCAGCTAGCTTACGTAACGTCGGTGGTTCTACTCAGGTGCCCTTTCGTGCCTATAATAATGCACGATAGGGCACCTGAGGTCTTCCTCCACCAGTAAAGCTGGAACTGATAGTGAAGAGCATGGATCCTGATCAGACTGCGCGGATGGGCAGGGTGGTCTGGATCCATGCTGGTTCAAACGACTATGTTTATTTGGTCGTGACGCGGCTCAAATGATACTTTATTAGTAATTTATTTCAAAAACAATAAGTTTCTATACACAAGTGAATGATTGTGTTTTATTTTGTTGGTTTTTTTTATTTGCTTTTTAGCTCGACTATACGAAGTATATGGAGAGCTGTCCTACTCGCCCCGGCGTCGGCGTCCGCGTCCAGATTTTAGATTTAAGTTTTGGTGCAGTAAAATATTTTTCCCTATAACTTTGTCATTTCTTAAGGTATCAACTTCAAACTTCAAATATATGTTCCTTATCATCAACCACATCTTATGTGACAAGGTTCATAACTCTAGCACCAATATTTTCAGATTTATCTCCCCTTGAACTTAGAATTTTCCTTAAAAAATACTATTTTTTACTGTTACTTCTTTATTTCTTAAGGGATCAACCTCATACTTCAAATATATGTACCTTATCATCATCCCCATCTTATGTGACAAGGTTCATAACTCTAGCACCAATATTTTCAGATTTATCTCCCCTTGAACTTAGAATTTTCCTTAAAAAATACTATTTTTTACTGTTACTTCTTTATTTCTTAAGGGATCAACTTCATACTTCAAATATATGTTCCTTATCATCAACCACATCTTATGTGACAAGGTTCATAACTCTAGCACCAATATTTTCAGATTTATCTCCCCTTGAACTTAGAATTTTCCTTAAAAAATACTATTTTTTACTGTTACTTCTTTATTTCTTAAGGGATCAACCTCATACTTCAAATATATGTACCTTATCATCATCCCCATCTTATGTGACAAGGTTCATAACTCTAGCACCAATATTTTCAGATTTATCTCCCCTTGAACTTAGAATTTTCCTTAAAAAATACTATTTTTTACTGTTACTTCTTTATTTCTTAAGGGATCAACCTCATACTTCAAATATATATACCTTATCATCATCCCCATCTTATGTGACAAGGTTCATAACTCTAGCACCAATATTTTCAGATTTATCTCCCCTTGAACTTAGACTTTTCCTCAAAAAATACTATTTCTTACTGTTTCTTCTTTATTTCTTAAGGGATCGACCTCATACTTCAAATATATTTACGTTATTATCATCCCTATCTTATGTGGCAAGGTTCATAACTCTAGCACCAATATTTTCAGATTTATCTCCCTTTTAACTTAGAATTTTCCATAAAAAATATTATTTTTTACTGTTACTTATTTATTTCTAAAGGGATCAACTTCATACTTCAAATATATTTACGTTATCATCATCCACATCTTATTCGACAAGGTTCATAACTCTAGCACCAATATTGCAAGACTCATCTCCCCATAAACTTAGATTTTTTTACTAGAAAAATGTTATTTTTTATTATAACTTTTTTATTTTTAAAGGTATCTACCTCTAATTTCAAATACTTATTCCTTATCATCAATTACATTTTATGTGACAATGTTCATAACTCTTAATTGAAGCAATATTTACAGATTTATCTCCCTTTGAACTTAGGATTTTCTTTAAGAAATATAATAACTTCTTTACTTTTTAAGGTATCTACTTCAAACTTCAATTATATATTTCTTATCATTACACAAATGTTGTGTGGCAAGGTCCATAACTCTAGCATGACTATTTCTAGAATTATTCCCCTTGATCTTGGAATTTATGTTAACAAATGTTATTTTTTTACTATAACTTAATACATAATTATACATAATTTATTTTTCTTTCATAGTTTTGTCCTCCTTACTGCGTCCAGTATTTTATTAGTCTAGCTTGGCTGTCTCCTGTGACAGCTCTTGTTGTATAAAACAAATGATGTCTTGTTCTATATCCTGACCTAATACTGTACAGACAAGAATGCTCTAAATACAACGGCAACATCAGTATCACTATTTACAGTATATATATTTTTTATATATTTTATATTTTATTTATTCATTAGTTATTAATAATTTCTAGCTTAAAATGTTATTTCTGATGTTTCCTACAGGTAAAGATATGGAAGCCAAATCCAAGTGAAGAAGTTGAAAAGTTGGTTCAAATTTCAAGCAGTCTTTTACAACAAAATAATTGGACAGTTTCAGATTTCAAAGAAAATGTTGTAGAAGAGTTACAAGTATGTATTGTTATCAACTTTAAAATTGATAAACTTCTCGACTTTTTTGTTTCTGTTACATGTAAAAATACTGGATTTTGCTGTTTCTAAATCAAAATGGAATGTAAATTTAGTTGTAATGGAAGTAAAAAATGATAATTTGGTGTTGAAATTTTCAACAGCGTTTGCTTAGAAGCTGCATTTCTTATATTTTTTTCAGGACATCTGGACATACTTTGGTGAAACAGAGATCCTACAACTTTCAAATGATAGGTGTCATGTATGCATGATTAACCCTATAGGTGAGCTCTAGCTTGTAATGTATACTTTTTAACAATGATGCATCGTCACTTTGTCTTCAGTTCTTCCGTCAGAGCATCGTCTCTGTTTCTCAGCTTTTCGGTCAGAGTATTTTTCAGGAACCATTTGCTGTAGCTTAGCAACATGTGCCATAGAATTACAATTTTAAGGCTAAATTAATACTGGTGACTACTTTTTGTGCATATCGAAAAAATAATTCATACATGACTTTGTGCATGTACTTAATTTATTAAAACTTTGACCAATAAGTGCTGATTTCCTTAAAGGATATCTTGTAGTTACGTTTAGCATCAGAAGTGATATGTTTCTGAATTTATCATATTACAGCACAAGAAACATCTATGAAACAACAACATTCCTGTAATTGTACACAACATATCAAAGCATGCATAGCATGTGAAAAGAACAGTTTTCTAAATCCAATAACATGTTACTGTGGTACAGAATTGACACCTGTGATAGGTAATTATTTTGTTAACTACATATATATATATTTATGCCTGAACAAGAAACACCCTTTTTGCAATGTATTTTGGAATCAGCAATTTTTTGTCTTTTATATGTAGAGCCAGATCCTGATACATCAAATTTAATGATACATAAAGAACTGTTTGGTAATATAAGATCATACAAATGCTTTAAAGAAATTGAAAATAATTACCAGACCACAGACATGTGCAGCTTTAAATGCCTTACAATCCAATGAATCGAGTATTTGTCAATCCAAGCACATATAATAAATGAAACAACTATATTATTTAAATGCCTTAAAATCCAATGAGGATCAAACCAGAATACCCCTGGATCACTAAGCGGGTGACTGAGACAAAAATTTACTATGCTAATTGAAGGCTTTGGAGCTCCCATTATCCCAAGTGTTCTGTATACCAAACACTATAATTAAAGAAAAGATGATATTTTAAAGGTAGGAATTCATTTAATCCAGACATGGCATTGTCTGACCAACTTTAGATCCATTCAAAAATATATTTCTTTGCAAGTTACTTAATAAAGATATAGTAAGATACCTGTCAATGGGTGATACCAATAATACAAAAAAGAAGACTATATATTACCTCATTCACATTGCATATAGGCTCATCACCATATAGCTCTGTCTTGAAATGGGTGATTGTTGAAGTTATACGATCATATACATATTTATATCGTATAATATAAGAAAACGGTAAATATATCAACTAATCATTGATAATAGCCAGGTGACTAAAAAAACGAAAAACTGCATCAAAGATTATTAAGAAATTTTCTCAGCTGAAACTGGTATTTTATTGGAATGAAACTGGCACAGATGGAAATCCTGATATTTGAGAGAGAGCTTAAAAAGTTGGGTGCATACTGTAAGGGGATAGTCAGTCGGTCCATCCATACATATGTACATCTTGTTATCCTTGTGCGATCTTTAACTTGAAAAGAAACCATCTGTGCTTTACGTAGCTTGGTAGAAACATTGCCGTAATCAATAACCCGAGTAATATTCCATGGTTGACCTTACTTTGATGGGACACTGCCAATGGATAAAAGATGGCCCCTATTATTTTTGCAGTCATTAGGCGAAAGTTCAAGGTCACTTTAACTGTAAAGCCCTTATTAGGTCATCTATAAGATTTAATTGAAACTGCAGCAAGCTCAGTTTCTGGTTCTTGATATCAGTAACTAATACAAGCTACCGTGTAACACTCCTTAGAATCGGCCAACGCTATAACAAATAGTTATGTATGAATAATGGCGGTGATCATCATTGCACCTTCAAAGTAACACTTTCGTGTCATTTATTTGAAAATGGTATTCCAATAAAATAATGTTTGGAAAGAGAGAGTTATGCAGGTGTTTAAAATATTTTTAGAGATAATAAGTGATGTGACTTAGAACTTGTTAAAATTGATCATTTGAGTAATTTGTCGCAAAATTTGTGAATATAGTTTGATCAAGTGCATTTTAACCCTTATTACAATTAACAAAATTGACTTCTCTATGCTATTGCCGATATTTTGATAAGTTTTTGAAGACAGAAACAACTGCATATGCAAAGGATTTAACATGTCTTTTCGACTTGTTTAGTTTAATAGCAAAATAACGAAGTTTTATCTTAAAACAATTTAAATAGATTTCATTTGTAACACTGTTACCATGTTGATAAACAGACTGTGAATATATTGACAAATTATATGTTGACCTTGGTTTACATAACACTTCAAATACGTTAATATTTGATTTAAGGAAGTAGATGGGGTGCTTTGCTTGTCGCAGGAACAGATACAGAAAAGAAAGAAAATACTAAAGTAATGGCCGGGGACATAAAAGAGATAGAGAAGCTGATAACATCGAAAGCTCCACGAATAATTGGAATCAGTTTTGTTTCTGTTTTTAGCTCACCTGTCACAAAGTGACAGGGTGAGCTTTTGTGATCGCCTTTCGTCCGTCCGTCCTTTCCGTAAACTTTTACTTTAAATGACATCTCCTCCTAAACCACTAAGCCAATTTCATTCAAACTTCACAGGAATGTTCCTTTGGTGGTCACCTTTAAAAATTGTTCAAAGAATTTAATTCCATGCAGAACTCTGGTTGCCATGGCAACCGAAAGAAATTTTTTTAAATATCTTCTTTTAAAAAACCCAAAGAGCTAGAGCTTAGATATTTGGCATGAAACATCTTCTAGTAAGTGTCTACCAAGTTAGTTCAAATAAAAGCCCTGGGGTCAAAATTGGCCCCGCCCCAGGGGGTCATTGATTTTCCCTATATACATGTAGTAAAAACTTAAAAAATCTTCTTTTAAAGAACCCATGGAGCTAGAGCTAAGATATTTAGCATGAAACATCTTCTAATAAGTGTCTACCAAGTTTGTTCAAATAAAAGCCCTGGGGTCAAAATTGGCCCCGCCCCAGGGGGTCATTGATTTTCCCTATATGCATATAGTAAAAACTTAAAAAACTTCTTTTTAAGAACCCATAGAGCTAGAGCTAAGATATTAAGCATGAAACATCTTCTAATAAGTGTCTACCAAGTTTGTTCAAATAAAAGCCCTGGGGTCAAAATTGGCCCCGCCCCAGGGTGTCATTGATTTTCCCTCTATGCATATAGTAAAAACTTAAAAAATCTTCTTTTAAAGAACCCAAAGAGCTAGAGCTAAGATATTTAGCATGAAACATGTTCTAATGGGTGTCTACCAAGTTTGTTCAAATAAAAGCCCTTGGGTCGAAATTGGCCCCGCCCCAGGGGGTCATTGATTTTCCCGATATGCATATAGTAAAAACTTAAAAAATCTTCTTTTAAAGAACCCATAGAGCTAGAGCTAAGATATTTAGCAAGAAACATCTTCTAATAAGTGTCTACCAAGTTTGTTCAAATAAAAGCCCTGGGGTCAAAATTGGCCCCGCCCCAGGGGGTCATTGATTTTCCCTTTATGCATATAGTGAAAACTTAAAAAACTTCTTTTAAAGAACCCAAAGAGCTAGAGCTAAGATATTTAGCATTAAACATGTGCTAATGGGTGTCTACAAAATTTGTTCAAATAAAAGCCCTGGGGTCAAAATTGGCCCCGCCCCGGGGGTCATTGATTTTCCTTATATGTGTATAGCAAAAACTTAAAAAATCTTCTTTGAAAAAACCCAAATACCTAGAGTTTTGATATTAGGCATGAAACATCTTCTAGTGAGTGTCTACAAAGTTTGTTCAAATAAAAGCCCTGGGTCAAAATTGGCCCTAGGGGGTCATTGATTTTCCTTATATATGTATGGCAAAAACTTTAAAATCTTCTTTGAAAAAACCCAAATAGCTAGAGTTTAGATATTAAGCATGAAACATCTTCTAGTAAGTTTCAACAAAGTTTGTACAAATAACAGCCCTGGGGCTAAAACTGGCCCCGCCCCAGAGGTGTCATTGTTTTTAACTATATGTGTATAGTAAAAACTTAAAAAATCTTCTTTTAAAAAACCCAATGAGCTAGAGGTTAGATTGCAGGAAACATCTTTTTGTGGGTGTCTACCAAGTTTGTTCAAATAAAAGCCCTTTGGTTAAAATTGGCCCTGCCAAAGGGGGGGGGTCATTGTTTTTCATTATATGTGTGTAGTAAAAACTTAACATCATGAAACATCTTCTAATGAGTGCCTTCCAAGTTTGTTCTAATAAAAGCCCTGGGGTTTTAACTAGCCCCGCTCCGCGGGTCTAAATACAGGTGGGCGACCTCAGGGCCATCATGGCCCTCTTGTTTTTTTATCAGTATTGTTCACACAGTATAATTCACTCTAACCATGTAACAGGGTATTATCTGAAGATGCATTAAAGAGGCTGAAGATTATTAAACCTGGTATACACTTATAAGAGTAGTTGCAGGGGTTAAAATGATCTATTAATTATCTAAAGAATGCAAGTATGAAAATATCAGTAACATCCCATTGTTTACTTACAGTAAAGAGGATATTCGCACTGTAGCACCTGATGTAACCAACAATGCCAGCATAAAAAGAAAAACATGTAGGGAAATGGAAGAAGAAAACCTTGGTGACAATGTCGAATCCAAAAGACAACCAGATAGAGAAACAGGAGAGAATCTTTGGCCTAAAGTCAAAGCTCACATTGAATATTTCAGCAAGAGAAGGGACCTTGACACATTGTTTATTTATTTTTCATGTCATGGTGGAAACACTGAAAATAGTTTTCATCTTGGGTCAGAAACAGATAGTGTTTCATTGCTTGATTTTCAGAATGAGTTAGCCCGATTGGAAAATATTGAAAAACTGGTTTTAGTTTTGGATCAATGCTTTCCACCAAAAGTACAGTTTAAGAACAGTGAGAGGAAATTTATACAGATAAATGCATGCGAAACTAGTGCGAGGGCATCTATGACAAATATTAGTACCTTTACGAAATGGTTTATTACAGGATTGAAAGCAAGGGCAGAAAAATCAGCATGTCCCGACAACTGTAGGCCTTGCCGGGAATACTGGCAAATGACCACAGATTTTATAACATATTCAAATTTACATAAGTATCTGTCTGATCATTTAAAGGAGGCCAATGAAAAATGTCCCCAAATATATATCAACCGTATCGATATAAACAGCAACTTTGCATTTCACACAGACGAAGAAGTACTTATTGATTTTACAGATGGCAAAAACGATTTACGGCTCCCTATTGGCTATTTACAGGACATTACGAACTTGAAAGAACAGTTGGTTAAAGCTTTTGGCAGTAAGTAATTGATTACACCATACAATGTATAACATAAAGTTAAAAGATATTTCATGTTGCAATAAAGCGTAAAATATGCATTTATTTATAATGCTAACCTATTGTAACATTATGTTGCAATGTTGCAATTAATTTAAAGACTGAAATGAGTTTAATGATATAAGATTATCAGTAAAATTTTGAATTAACACTTTTAAGCTTAAATGCGTGTAGTTTGTGTGCTAGGCTTTATACTTGATTCCCACACGCAAAGATCCTTCGTCCAACGCATCACAAATCATACAGTAGTGCAGATATATATTTAAGTAACAGAGTTGAGAATTAGATATGTAAACTTATTTATTGAGAATTCCAACACTCCCTGTGACTTTGTCACTAAATACAAAGAAGAAATAAACATGTGTTCAACTGGTAATAAACACTGGTTAGAGACAGCATGTATGTGCGACTTTTTTCCCCCTCCGATAAGACAGTTTCCAACGCCTTGAGACAACAATGATACGGCCTATAGATGTGATCAGTTCCAGCACATCAAAACTCAAAATATGTGTTAAATAGCTGATCAACACCACTGAAACCGATATTATTTCTTAAGTAAAACATTCTTCGAACAACATAGAATTCCACTAGAAGGAAATCGTTCTTTAGAGCTACATACCTCCAGATGAGTCAAAATATTTCAATAAAATCAAACTTGAGAAAAATGTACCAAGATGTAAGGAAAAGTTAAAAGTGTCAAGATTCAAGTAATATTTTACATATCATGTGCGGTTACTGACTGATTTTTCATTATTTATCAATATATTTCTACTGCGTAACTGATGCTGAAAGGCTATTTATGTTTTCGGTAATTTACGTGGTTTGTAAGAGCCATTGATAATGTGTAAATTGCTTCCTTTTGGCTACTTCACAACATTACCCATTCAAATATGTTTTCAAAATTTTCATGAAATTAGCATGAATCTGGAGGTGTGCTGCTTTAAGTGACGATCACAGCCTGCCTAAGCTTCTTTTTGGTATGTCTGTATTAGTTCTGATCTTCATCAGGTTTTAGGAATGCTACTGTGAAGAATTATGAGTTTGGGACGAATACCACATTTTTAAAAGGAAACAGTTTTAAGCAAGACTAATCTTCGCCTTTAAAACTAGACACTGATGCCTTTGAAACATGTCATTTGATAGATATTTTAACAGTTTTCTTAATTTTCACAATATGCTCAGTAATTTCAGCTGTCTTTTGAATAATTAAATATATCATGTCTTCTTTCCATCTAGATTTGAACTCCTGCTGAATAATATTAGCCGCGTCACGACAAAACCAACATAGTGCGTTTGCGACCATTATGGATCCAGACCAGCCTGTGCATCCGCGCAGTCTGATCAGGAATCATGCTGTTCACTTACCAACCCTATTACAAGTAGAGAAACTGGTAGCTAACAGCATGGATCCTGATCAGACTGCGTGGATGTTGGTTTTGTCGTGACGCGGCTCAATTATGTATATCTGTTTTTCATATGTAATTGGTTGAATACACTTTGAATTTCAGAAAACGTAGAAGTAGACACTGTGCACATTGAAAAACAGACATACAGAAAGGATAAAGAATTTGAAAAGTGCGACACCCTTGAAAAAGTGATGCAAGCTTGGGTTCTTAGGCAAAAATTGAGAGTAACATTCAAAACTGAATAATTTAAAATATATCTCTTGACACTATATGTATAACCATAAAATGTAGAATTGTATGTTCTTACACACTGTCTCCAATCATATGTAATATATAAAACGTCATCTTCTAGACATATTTACATATAGAGACGATCTAACATATACATACCTATACTTTTGAAATTAGTGGACATAATCCGATGCCTCTATCTAGTTTATGGAATGAATCGTAATTTGTTAATTTGATTATCAACCTGTGTAAAGAGAAGCGCACTGTATGAGAAACACGGCTTAGTTCAAGATATGCTAGCTCTGTAGCTCATCTGTGAGTATTTTTTTATACCCCCACAAACGAAGTTTAGGGGGGGTATATAGGAGTCAGCTTGTCGGTTGGTCGGTCGGTCCGTCGGTCGGTCCACATCATGGTTTCCAGACGATAACTAGAGTTTGGAGTGAGGTATTGTAATCAAACTTGGTATATAGCAACCTTATGTGGAAACCCCGGTTGGTATTGCATTTGGACCCCCTGGGGCCAAGGTCAAGGTCACCGTTACTAAAAATAGAAAAATTGTTTCCGGACAATAACTAAAGTTAGGAATGAGATATTGTAATCAAACTTGGTATATAGCAAGCTGATATGAAGACCCCGGTTGGTATTGCATCTGGACCCCCTGGGGCCAAGGTCAAGGTCACCGTTACTAAAAATAGAAAAATGGTTTCCGGACAATAACTAAAGTTAGGAATGAGATATTGTAATCAAACTTGGTATATAGAAAGCTGATATGAAGACCCCGGTTGGTATTGCATCTTGACCCCCTTGGGCCAAGGTCAAGGTCACCGTTACTAAAAATAGAAAAATGGTTTCCGGACAATAACTAAAGTTAGGAATGAGATATTGTAATCAAACTTGGTATATAGAAAGCTTATATGAAGACCCCGGTTGGTATTGCATCTGGACCCCCTGGGGCCAAGGTCAAGGTCACCGTTACTAAAAATAGAAAAATGGTTTCCGGACAATAACTAAAGTTAGGAATGAAATATTGTAATCAAACTTGGTGTACATCAAGCTCATATGAAGACCCCGGTTGGTATTGCATCTGAACCCCCTGGGGCCAAGGTCAAGGTCACAGTTACTAAAATAGAAAAATGGTTTCCGGACAATAACTAAAGTTAGGAATGAGATATTGTAATCAAACTTGGTATATAGCAAGCTTATATGAAGACCCCGGTTGGTATTGCATCTGGACCCCCTGGGGCCAAGGTCAAGGTCACAGTTACTGAAAAAAAAAATGGTTTCCGGACAATAACTAAAGTTAGGAATGAGATATTGTAATCAAACTTGGTATATAGCAAGCTTATATGAAGACCCCGGTTGGTATTGCATCTGGACCCCCCTTGGGCCAAGGTCAAGGTCACCGTTACTAAAAATAGAAAAATGGTTTCCGGACAATAACTAAAGTTAGGAATGAGATATTGTAATCAAACTTGGTGTTTAGCAAGCTTACATGAAGACCGCGCTTGGTATTGCATTTGGACTTTCTGGGTTCAAGGTCACAGTTACTAAAAATAGAAAAAGGGTTTCCAGACAATTACTAGGGTTAGGAATGAGATATTGTTATCAAACTTGGTGTATAGCAAGCTTATATCAAGATCAAGATAGTTGGGATTGCAATAAATTGAAATTTTATTTACTGTAGGTTTATTTCAAATTTTTCTTCAGACAACTTATTTTTCAAAAGTCAAAGTTGCTGGTGGGGGTATTAATCACCTTCAGTGATAGGTCTAGTTTTATTTAAAATCCATAAAATTCTTACTGAATATGTCTATTTGGAGTAGAATAATGTCCAAAATATGCATGGGAAGCTTCATTCCTTTTAATGGTAACGGTTTATGAAAAACTGACCCCCTTTTTTCTTTTTTTTAAATGCCAGTTTTTTAATGACACTATATATTCATATTATGTTTACTAAATATTTTCTGAATAGCTCAGTTGGTAGAGTACAGGATTGATGATCTCGAGGTCGTGGGTTAGATAAATACTGTTGCCACTATCATTTTCAATAATTTTGTTTATCTAATGTTTAAATAATTTTTTCATGTTCATTCTGGAATATTCTTTCTCCAAGTAGTTTAGTATTTTAGATTGTTCATTGGTAGTATATATATGATGAATGTTTGTACTTCAAGGTGTGTGTGCTAATTTGTGCTTTTGTGTGATGTTAATAAACTGATTTTGTGCTAATTTACTTATAATATTATCAATTTGATAATTTCACTGTTTTGAATATTTGAGCCTGGTCGGTTGTTTTAGTGAAATACCAGCATGCACAGTAATGGAGACCAACTTAATGACGTGATGTCGTAAATGACGTCACATATTATTATTTGGCGCCCTTTTCATTTAGTACTAGGTTAAATGTCTTTTTTAACGTTTCTTTGCATATAATAAACAGAAAATGTGTTTAGTTTAATGTAAGATTGAAATATATTTCACCTTCTGAACACCAAAAGTTCTTATTTCACTCGTGGCTGCCCCACTCGTGAAATATACCTTGGTGAAATATATTCCGATCTTACACTGAACTAAACAAATATCCTCTATATGTTAGTTTTGATTCTGTAATTCTGTGTGGGAAGTGTTTTGAATATATATTATGATATTCTGCTGTTGACATTGGACATTAATTAAATTTTAGTTATGGACAATTGAATTTGAACTGTGACTTTAAGAAATTTGTTTAATTAGATTCGTCGATAATTGTGAGTTAAACTTTACTTTCATATTTTTGTAAATAATTGTTTTTCTTTAATTATAAATTGTTAAATTTGTTGCTGCGTTATCTTTTCTGTTAGCTTTTAACAGCCTATAGTAATTCAAAACTCAATATTGAAATGTTGTACTCAGTTTTTAATTGACTAAAAGTTTTAAACTTTTGTGTGTTGATATTATACATGTAGATGTCTTTTACACGATATATAGAAAAAACTGTTGTTATTTTTTTATATTTGAAGTTTGTCACAAAGTATTTGTTCTGATATATTTTGCAAGCTTCACTCCAAGCTACTAATTCTTCATGTATAAATTTATTTTCAACTTTAAGGTATTACCATCCTAATGCACTACTGTTAACTACATTGAAAATGAGGGCCATGGGTTCAATCCCCAGAAGGATCAACTTTTTCTTTCTTTCTATTTTTCTTTTAACATTATTTATGTATCTCTCATGGCCCATTTGGCAAGAAAAAAGTGTTTAATTTTGATTTTTTAATTTATACAGGTATTTATTGGCTAAATTATGCTAAATCTAGCATAAATATGGTACCTGATATTTTCAAAGTGTAATAAAATCAAAACTAGAAGGTAAAAGTATTTCATATTTTACAAAATCAACCAATATACTTCTTTAAAAATTTAGGGAAATTTTGAAAACAGGCACTCATTTGGGTAAATTTTAAGGATTTTTTAAATTAGGCTCCCTAGGTAGGAAAATGGTCAGACACGTGGTAAAAATAGGTGGGGTAGGGTAACATACAGATTTCATAAATTTTAAGTAGAAACCATAATTTTGCTTATGTGGATTGTTAGCTGAATGGTACTATTTGTTTCGTACCAAAATTAATGGGAAAACATTTTTCATGAGAATGTTATTGCAGATTATTTAAAGGTTCCTCATTTCTAAAAAAAGCCTCATAACATCCTAGAGTTCAGAAAAGTGGCCATAACTTGATTTCCGTATGGTAAACTTTGTTTAAATTTTGCATACAGGTGTACTTTATGGTATATATCTGACCTATGATGTCAATTTTTTAGTTCCTTAAATTATAGTGCCCATTAAGGTGATAATACCTGAAATTTCAATATATCTTTTGTGTTTATATTCCATTTAAATAAAGATATTCCATCTAAATGATTTATGTCTTTATTATTTCTTTCCACTCTCCATTATATTAACCGTTTATTATTCATTTAATAAAGTTCGAGTTCATAGGTTGAAAATATAGGAATGTCAATCATATCTAGACCCCGTTTTTGTACTCTTGTATTATTGGAGAGGTCATCAGACCTCTCCACAGTGTTGATTGCTGGGGGCATCCATTTTTGCTTAATGAACCTCATACAGCCTAAAATCATTAGAACCAGGCTACAAACATTGTAATGCGCATGCCCCAATTCAAAATACGACTTTACTCGTACTTAAACGAAAAATTAACATCGACTGTAGTAAATTGTTTCTTGTTTTGTGACTGTAAACATTTATAATAGCTACAATACTGTGAAATTTGAAAAGGAGTATTGATTTTAGTATGGTATATCTGGCCAACGTTTTTGTACTCATTTCGTTGGTCATTAACAGCACAGCTCAGTAGCAGCCAGTGAAGGTCTTAAAGTACTATTTTTAGCCCTTCATCATCTCAAAAAAGTATCAGATTTTTATGAATGAAATTCCTTACTGCTGTGTCTATAAAGAGGTTGCACTACTTGGTTCAAATGTTGAGCTATATGATGAATTGATTTTTCTCAGCTGTAAACAAGTTTAAATAATAGTTAATCAAATGTAAATGTATCTTTCTTGCATACCATAAATAGTACAAATATATTTACCTTTTGCAAGTTTATGCTGCACAAAGTTGCACTGTTTTTGTATACATTGCTTGCAATGTATACAGAGTTATAAGCTATATCTCAGAAAAGATACAGGTTTAATGCATTACCGAACAACATCCACTCCCGGATAAAAACCGCTATAGAAACTAGTTCTTCATTCTGCAGTAGCGTTACATTCCGACTACACATCATTAAAATAGCGTTTGCAAAGTTGTTTAAATGCTTTGAAATTTCCAAATCGTTCATTTTCAAGAAATAATAGACTCTACATTCCTTTAAAGAAAACCAAAAATAACAGTTCATTGAATAAAAATTTCGTAGTTTATAACTACGCGTACGCAAGGAATTTCGCATATTATAGCATGGTTGCGCGCTTACCATGCAGCATGGGGGAATGAATTGATCGAATAGATATCGTGAATTATAGTTAAGGCAAATCGCAACTACACTCGGAGCCCTTTCACGTCAGTGCCTTCGGATAGTTAAGGGGGTCGTCTAGAAATTATATAAATGGGACAAAATCGTCACAGATAGATTATTTAATCAAAAAAAATTTTTTCCGGATTTAGACGACATTTTTATCGCGATAAAAATTGGCCCTAGGAAAAATGTTTTAACAACAAAAATGAGTATTGGAGCTTCGGTAACAGATCGTAACAACAAAACAATCGAAAATTTACCGACATATACCGGGGAAATTTTTTAAAAAAAAAGCCCCCTGGCAATTATCGTGGCTTCGGAAAAAAAATAGGAATTCCGTAAGCCCCTATTCTTTTGAATACCCTTTTTTTAAAGACCACTGATTTTCCTTTCACTTTTGTATGCCTTAGATTTTTGAAAAGAAATATGTTTCGAAATTCAGCGAAGATTGCCTGATTGAGTACGGGTAAAAAAAAAAGATTCGACCGTTCGACCCATAACAATTCGTCGAACTTGGGATATTGACGATTAAGCCAGAGCATGGAGCTAAATATAGGCATATGTGTCCAGATTCGACGATAAAAGAAATAATCATTTGAAACTACATGTAACTGTAAATCAGTGTAAGCACTAAGAAATTAATACATTAAATTTATGTTCAGAATTTAATCTTCTTATATTAATGGGTGCATGGAATTGCCGAAAAAACACCGAAAAACACCAAAAAAAATACCGAAAAAACACTTAAAATACAAAAAAAAAAATATATTTAGGCTGTGATTAAATTCAGCAATATAAACAATTTTTTGATGGTTATTTGATGAAATGGGTTCAATAACATCAGTTTTTAAATCGGATGATATATCATAAAATACGCTGATGAATGTAATCGCTGAGCCCTGCGTCGAACATAGAAAAGCCGAAAACACATGTCACAGGCAAAAAAAAAATGCTAATTTCCATTTTAATCACCAGAGAAATTGTTTTTCACAATTCCGATCAATAAATTTAT